AGTTGGGGAAGCGAAGAGGGGAGATGACCCTGACCCGCGACTTCATTTTGACACTTGAAACGTTCGGTGCCCTAGTGAAAATACATTTCAAAAATACAGTATCAAAGGGGCCAAAGGTGCGGCGCTCAGTGGGACATCTGTGGGACAGGATTGGTCACTGTGGCCCAGCTTCACAGTCCCTGACAGTTGAAGGCTGAGATTTAGTTGACCTCATACGACTTCACATCCCAATAGCTTGGTGTCTTGAAGGTGCCATCCCTCGACAGAAGAACCCTAACAGGGGTCCAAGCTAGTTCCTCTGTCACGCCTCGGGGCTTGGGCTTCCATTCCTCCTGGTGGCCTGATGCCAGCTGGCTGTCGAAAACCAGATCTCGCTACAGGTCAAGGACCTCATTTGACTGGGTCCGGTCATGCAAAACCAGTACTCAATGAGGTCAAGGACCAGGTTTAACTTGGCCCTTGGACTTGTAGGGAGGGATTCCCCAATCAGTGGTTTGTCCATACCACTTTTCGCGGCATTCTTGACAAACAGTCCACCTTGCCCGGGGATCACTGCTGTCAAAGTTCCAACAGCGCACGGTCTATCTGTAAGGAGTTTCAACGCACATCCGAGCAGCCTGCGTACAAACAAGAGCTCCAGCACCCCCAACCCACCCCAGCCTGACCAATCGTTTTTCTTGCCACCTGATACCAGCACAGCAAGAAACAACTGGACTTCCTCCCATCGAACCCTGCACCTCACCTGCCCTTTTTGAGCCAAATCCGACCCCTCCCGCCTCCCACGCGATTCAACGATACTCCTGAGGCCCTGGCTGCTCCAGGAGTTGTCCTTTTCCCACTTCTCAGCCTTGGGCTTCCACTGTTCCGCCGCCTTCCAGGAGTCGGCCTTCTTCCTGAGGCTTCGCCGCCGGCTTCGGAAGAACCCCCCCTGTCGCCTCCCTGAGGCGGCGAGCGCCGCCGAACGCCTGACCTTTCTTCTGAACGATTCTGACCTTCATTGATTGACATGCGTTTAAGGTCCGCAGCTATTGAAACACGTTTTCAATGAAACAGCCAAGGTCAAGATCCATCAGCATGAAGCTGCTGGTGCTCTTCCGATGCTCAAGCATCGGGGCTTAGACTCATAGTTGGGTTTCTCCCAGAACTTGTTCTAGCCACCTGCTTCGACATGAGCATGTCCCCGGTTTGGAACGGCCCTCTCGACCAACAGCTTCAATCGCCCCAGCCCCGCCCAAGGCTCCAATTCTCAGAGGCGTCGGCGCTTTTCCAGCTGGCTTTCCAGCTTCCGCCTCCTCCACTCTGATCGTTGTCCTTCCAACTCGCCTTCCAAGTGCCTCGCTTGAAAACAAGAACCATCGTGCTCACACAGCTGGGGGGGCAGTTGAGTGAAAAAGCATGGCTTCCACTTCCACTCAAGAGATGTCAAAGGGCCTGAGACCGTCTGAAACCTGCAGGTCCCATGGGTCGGTAGAACGGCTCGGAGCCGAGGTATTGGGTCCTCCGTCCTCCCTCCGTCCCTTCAGCTCAAGCGAGGTGGGTCTCCACCCGGTTCTGCGCCTGTGCTCTTCGTCTTGTCTTGCCATTTATTTGGACCCCACTCCTTCTCCTTCCCTGCGGCACGGAAGGAGAAGCTGGTCAAACCCTTGTGAACATAGCATGCATCTTGAAATCGCTATTACTCCTCGGCATGCACCCCAGCAAGATTTAAGCCTGCAGGGTTGCTTTGGCTCACTTCATCCTACCGCCCTTACGTCACCAAAAAACATGAACCGAACTCCACCACCCACTGCCCTGACAGCGCCTGGCTTCTCCCACTCTTCCTGCCAGTTCTTTTTGCCCTCAGTTCGCTTGCAAAAGCCACAATCTTGGGCCAGTGACGTAGATAGACACTCGACCCACCCGAACATGGCCCTGATTCACAAAGGCTTCGACACTTGTTCCCAGGCTCCCATATGACCCGGGTCCATTGAATGCATTGTCTCCATAACATCAAGTAGGCGGCTCTGAGGCGATGAAAAGCCACTCTGATTCGTTCGGCGGCTCTGACCCGCCTTCTGCGGCTGAGCCTCCTTTTCGATCAGCTCATCCAAGCTCATGTCCTGAAGCACGCCGCACCAGCGCCCGCCCACGTGCAGGTCGACGCTGGGAACTCTGACATCCTGGGTCTGGTCTCAGCCAGGCCATGCCCGCTTTCTACAGGAAGTCTCCACAGGGCTTTCCTCACGATTCCATGGAACCCCCCCCCTGTGGTCGGTCCAGACCGACCATCTCCTCCTCCTTCGGAGCGACATGCTCCTTTCGGCCTCGTGGGCGGTGGAGAACCAGTGGCTGTTCCGAGCAGCCGGGTGGTGCCCCCCCAAGCCCAACAAACCGGATGAGGGTCGCTGGTGTCAGCTGCAGCTTTTGCAGGTGTCAAAACCTGACAGAACGGACCTGCCGCCCAGGACATCCTTGCATCAGGCACAACTTGGCATCTCCCAACGATCCTCTAAGCAAAAGTAAGCACAAAATGATTGAATAAAGCATGGTAAAGCAGCCAGGGGTATCTTCTTCAATCACCACCAACTGAAAACAGTCAAAAACAAACTTCGATCTACCTCTATAGACTCTAATCTTGGAAAAACCTCTTGTAGAATGGGTCTCGCCCCGGCCCGCTTCGATCCCGGGAGTAGGAACATCCGCTGCAGGGAGACCGCGCCTTTCCCACGGCCCTTGGGTTCGCTCCTGGAGGCCTTGATCACCTGGGCCGTGCAGGACACCGGCCCACCCGGTTTAGGCGATTTGGCTCTGGAGGACACACACTCGAGTTTGGGGGGTCCTCCAACTGATCTGCATTACATAACATCACATTTGTCTTTACATTACATTACACGACATTATATACATCATACATATCATATACAGTAGTTATATACACATATCATATCATGTCCTGTCATATCATATCATATCTCATATCATATCATATCATATCAATCTATCTATCTATCTATATATATATATATACGCCCCATTTCCCGGCTGGGTGCTCCAATGCTCACCTTTTGGACCTCACGTGACGGACGTCACCCCCGCCTCATCGAGCGAAAGATCCAGGGAGGCGGGAGCCATCCGGGCACCACGTCCTCCACCGAGTCGGAGCGCGTAGCTGGTGGGTGTCGACACCCAGCGGCTCTGGAGGTTTGGAGGTGGTTTCTTCCCAACAACCTGACTTCCCAGCCCCCCGGGCGCACTTGGAATTGTGAATCATTTGTGAGGTGTTTGTTCAGGTTTGGATGACACGGCGGACCCTGGGAATTCCATAGGAAATGGAGTGGCCTCTAGTGGGCCTATAGATCATGGGCACGAGTGGAACCAGTCACTCTGGCGGATGGTACATCTGGCATCAAGCAGGATGTCTTCCACCCCCTCCCGGTCGGCAGTTCAGGCCTTGCTGGTGCAGTAGATGAACCAGCACTGAACGCCCATTCGAGCCCACGCGTTGGAGCCGAAAGATTGGGCACGGCGCACCATCCAACATGTGACCCACTGCATAGGGGGAGGTGCTTCAATTTCGTGGTTGGTGAGGGGGCAGCTCATGTGCTACCCTGCCTGAAACAATCATGGAATGGAAGTGGGAAATGACGGCCGGAGAAACATAGACCAAAACCTATTCCTTGCGGATGTCTCTATTGAAAATACACATCCGCATGTCGAGACTGGTCGCCCGATTCACACGCGATGGCATCGCCGTGATTCGGCCTTCGCCGGGGGCGGAGCGAGCTCTGCCCAGGGGATGGACCTGGGCCGCGTGGAGCTCCAGCGTCGCAAGAAGGAAGCTGGTGCGATGAGACTGGAAGCTCGTGCGAGGACCAGGCGGCAGAAGGCTTCCACGGAAAACAAACACTCCCAGAGATGTCGAACGCCTAAAAAGTCGAAAACATGAGAGGCTGAAAAACAATGAACATTGTGTTTCGGTGGTTGGCACTTTGCAAGGAACAAGTTGCCGCATGAGAGAAATTTAATGCTGCTCTTATATCTGTTCGAAACTTTCAGCGCTTTAGGCGTTGTACTTGGTTTATCGTCACTGTTCTTCAGCATTCCCACCTGTGCACATGCAGCAGCGGCTCACAATTTTATAGAAACCACTGCTACAATTCCAAACGGAGTGAATTTGGGAAATCAAAGGGTTCGCAAGAAGAAATGCAAACTTGGAGAAACAACTTGACAAACATGTTCTGCAAATTGGCATGTGCAACTCAAGTAAGATGTAATGTAGAGAACGACCTCAAGCAAATCCAAATGAAAAAGGAAGAATGCCAAACTCACCTAACTGATCTACTTTGCCACTCCGTGGACCACCCATAAACATTGTCCAAAAAGTGCCTACATAAAAAAACCTGTCCTTTTTCAAAAATGTGTCCAAAGGTGGCTCAATGCTCAAAAGCATGGAGGTTAAACTGACGTCAACAACACCACACTTAAGCATCGATTACAACTCTCTGAGGCTCGTTATCTGCCATTCCCACCTTTGCTTTATCGACCAACTTTGTCACATGGTTCTTAAACCCTCACCGCTTGATTTCTTGCCCTACGTTTTAGCAGCTAGACTTTTCCACTTTACCCAATAGTGTTGCACCGACTCAGTGCCTGAGGACGGGCAAAACAAAACCGTGACATATGCCTCTCTGGTCACGTTTTGATGTTTTTTGCTTGACATGTTCCTTTTTCTAGTATCTTCTAGTTGCACATATTGTTGAGGCGCATCAACACCATGTAGATGTCAAAAGGTCACAACTTCAAGACCCCGGCAACCAGCGCGACAAGCTGAGCCGGAGCCTCGCCACAGTTATCGTTCTTTCATGACCTGGCGCCGCGATGGGACCCATGGGAACACGCTCAGCAAGTGGACAAGCACAAACAAGCAGCGTAAAAAAAACAATGAACATGCCTCAACAAGCAATCACTCGGACCAGCTGCCTTTTGATCTCAGGCGTCTTGCCAGCGAGTTGTTGGAAATTCTACGAGCGGACCATTGTTCGGGCTGCTCCGCTAGTGCCTGTGTCATGCAACAAATGCTCGTCACTCCATTCTCGTGGCACCAATTTCAACGCAGGGCTCCTCTGCATCTGGTCGGCGACTTTGACCTTCCAAGTGCCGGAGATCTGATCTGGTGTCACTGCATTGTCCTCCACGAAGCCATGGCAGCCGGGCGACTCGGGAAGGTTCCCAAGTTCTGCTGCAAAGATCCAGTAGCCTCTGTCCTCATAGAGCTTGGGCTTGGGATCGATCCCCGGACCCAACTCTTCTTGGAAAGCACCGTCCCACTTGTTTGTGGAACCTTTCCGGTGGAAATAGAGATACTGTCCACCAGATTGGTGCGCATAGACTGGGCGACCAAACTGAATCATTGGAATCCTCCGCATCATTCCAAGCACGACCTCTCCATCCGCATGTCCAGTCAGCTGGAATCCGATGATGCTCTTGGCTTCAAGCAGATCAACAGGGCTCGGTGTACCCCTTAGGCTTCCCAAGCTGAAAGTCTGTCTCTCATCTTCCTCTTCCTCGCACTCTTCCCCAACGACCCGCAACGTCTTGGAGAATCCATGCCAAACATACCAGGGCTTTGTCACCAGCGAGGGATGCTTCGCATCCTCCGGCACGAACGCACAGCCGGAGGCCGAGCAAATGCCCGACAGCGGCTGGGCCGAGATGACCCAAGATTCACTGGCATCGTCCAGGTATAAGTACCTCACCACGCTCTGGAAGATGCCGACCTTCTTGACCATCTTGAACACACGATGGCCAAAGGTGTGCGTCAGCCGGAAGTAAACACCGTTCATGACCTCATTCTCACCCGTGCCACCCTTGATGATCACATCTTCCAGATCGCTGGGTGGCTCTGGCGCCGAGCGAGGCCGATGCCTCAGCTGCCCAATGGTTTCATGCAGAAATCGTAGCTCATCAGGCGCATGGAGGACATCCTCACCATCCACCTTAGGCTTTTTCAACATACTGCCGAAGAGGTTGGGCAATCCCTTCGTCTCCGGCTTGAGCTCACGACCGCCCGCTTGCCGCTGGCCCTCCACAAAGTGACCTTCAAAAACCCGGCCATCAGCAGAGGTGAGCCTTCCCTGGCCATGGAACACTCCATTCTTCCATTCTCCCTCATACTTACCATAACCCAACTTCAGCGCCAAGTCCTTGCTGACCTCTTCTACTCCAAAGCCATGGCGTAGGTTTTCCACAAATTGGCCGTCATAAGTCAAGCCATCTGCTGTCTGGTACCTGCCAGCTCCATGAAACTGGCCATTCTTCCAGTAGCCCTTGTAGTGCGCCAACGGCTTTCCTTTTGTTCCATTGTACTCATACTGTGTCATCTCTCCACTGCCATCAGGCACACCACATGCATAGTCTCCAATGTATACGGTGAAATCAGCGTACAATGCTCGCCCTTTCGTCATGTGCTTCGCATCACACCCCTGCTGCTGATAGTAGGCCAAGGCCAGATCGGGCAAAGGCTTCCCTGCACGCTGCACGCCCAAAGAATCGGCGGAGAAGTACCTGAGGAACTTCGGATCTTTGCTCTGAGTTGATTTGATGTTGTGAAGATTCAAGTGAAGTTTTGCCGTTTTCTCGTGGCGAGGGGCTTCTTCCTCTTTGGGGTGCAAGTGGTCGTAGAGACTGCTAGAAGCTCTAGCCTCTTCATCGGCCTGGTACCAATCTGAGGCCCAGGTGCCTTCAAAGCTCATGATCGAGACTGGATCGAGGCAGGGCAAAGGAACGCATCCTGGGCCAACACCTTGGTGCTGTGTGGTCGTCACGAATGGGGCGTTCTCCACTTTCATGCTCCCCTGGCCGTTGAACAAGTCGTTGACAAACTCACCTTCGTAGACCTTGAACACCTCAGACGACTGGCCTGCACCATGAGGGTTTCCTTCAGGAGCGCCTTGCTCCCACCGAAAGACGCCCCAACCATGGCGCTTGCCCCTCTGCCATTCACCCTTGTAGATTGGATTCACACCCCGGGTCATGTCCTGGTAGTCGTTAAAGAGACTGCCTTCGCCGTTGTAAAGGTGATCATCCCAATATCCGCAGTACATCTTGCCATCTGGCCAGCGCTGCACCCCCTTCCCGGAACGCATGTGAACCCCATCAATGGTCGGATGTGAAATGGTTCTACCCTGGTAGAAACGAATAGATTCTTGAACAACAGAGTCGTCCATGCCCCAGTCAAGAATCACCCTCTTCCACACGTCCAGGTGGTGTGGCGCCATGCCCACGCGCAAATACTCCAAGCCCTGGTTGGGCTCCCAGTCTGGAGAAAGCCCCATCTTCAATGATCTCCACTCTGGACTGCTCTCGAAGTCGGGATGAACCTGGAAGCGTAGGTAAGGGCGGTCGTCATGTGCGTCTCCTTCAATGCGGATCTCCTTCAAGTAGTCCAGGGGTATCTTGAACTTGGCCAAGTTGGATTGAACATCTGCCAGGCCTTCACCCGACATGGGAATCAACTCCTTGAGGCCAACGCCACCACTCATTTGCACATCCAATTGAGAGAAAATGAGTTCTACCCTGGACTCGATGGACACGTCTGGCATGGCACCCTTGATCATCTGCTGGTTGGTAAATCGCAATAGAAGCAGTCTGGAATCCCTCACGAACTCCTCTTTGCTGATCTCAAAACCCTCACTAAGATCTGACCAAAAGTGCTCCACGTTGCTCCATCTGGGATGCACTTTGAGAAAGCTGAGAAATTCCTTCATCTCTTTGTTGCCGAGCTTCTCCTCGAAAGCCCCCCCAAAAAAATGCATCACGCGACAAGCATCGGACCCCAAAAATGTGCGAAGTAAAAGTATAACATGAGCCATCTTTGACCAACAAAGCGGTTTTGAATCACCAGGAGCACCATGCCAGGCCTAGCGTTGGAGAATTGCGTTCATCTCCGAGAAGTCAAGGGATTGGCATGATTAGGTGGGGCACAAGCGGTTCCCAACAAGTTTTGCAGGTTCAAAGCTGGCAGTGTTCGGAATGTTCCTTGGGATGCTAGGATAAGTGTGATTTAATCGAATCTAACCGCAATCTCTTCTGCAATGCTTGCAATACGCCGACAGCATACATTCGCACAACAAGGAAATGCGCTCTTATTCCTGTGGGGAGCCTGAGTGCATTCATTGGTTGGCTCCTTTCCACACACCGTCACACCGCGCGAGAGGAGCTCAATAATATGAATGTTTTGCGTTCTTCTCTTGGTGTCCTTTTGCTCTGAACTCAGTTGAACTCAAAGCTCTACTACTGTCGTGTTCATCCGTTGTGGCAGGTAGGTTTCTTGGACGGGGAGGCCGTGGTTTGCACTTGGACGGGAATCAACAAGGCCACAAATTCTTGAAAAAGGACATGTACGTGACTAACTTGCAAGAACGGTAGGAAATGAACGTCTACAGTACTCACTGAGTGCGCCACCATCTGAACACATCTTAAAAGGTATGAGCTGAGCCTCTCTGGAATGCACAAAGCAGCCTGTGAGAAGGGCACGGCTGCAAAGTCCGCCAGGTTCGCAGTTCCTCCCTGAAACAAAAATTTTTAAAAACACGCGGCACTTCCGAGCTTGCCTGTACCAGGTCCTTTGACATACTCCAAACCGGTTTCAGCACCTTCCACTCAAACCAACCCGGCACGGCCGCACAGGCGGCACCGGACCCGCTGGGCATGTGCAAACCTTGGCCAGCTGCAGCAGCATCGATGGCACACCAGCGTGCCGGCTCGAGGTCCAGGTCTTCAGAAACAAAACCAAATGATTTACGTTTCTCAGTTGGGAACTTTGGGACTTAAGAAAGGACACCTGTTTTTGCGCTGTGTTTATTGCTATATATATATATGTGTGTGTGTATTTATTTATGTACCTCTCTTTGTATTTGTATACCGTAACTATCGTCGTTTACACCTCAGTTGGCTGCAAACGCGTGGCGTTTAGCCAATCAGCTTGAGGATGTCAGAAGGCCTTTTCGATGATGCAGGGGGTCGCATCAAAAACACCCGGTTGGCGAAAAGTAAACGATTATCTTCGCCTGCACGTCCACAGCCCCAATGTGATTAGCACGCTCAGGTCGCCGAGTGAACCATGAAGAGTGTCACGCCGCCCACTGCCGAAAGGAAGGACGAAAGGGTCATGGAGTGCTTGCTTGACCAAACGTCATTCGGATCGTAAATTCAATTTTTTTCGCGAAAAGGCGTTGGTATCATTCATGCACACGTAAAACTTTGCCTCTCAAAGTAGCAGCAACGGCCACACCTCATCTAAATCAAAACATGAAGGCACCAGCTGGCTACAATCGATGGGACAATCCCGACAGACATCCCGATAGACCTGAGAAGGGAGGGGACGAAAGCCAGCCTCTGAATTAGGGGGGTGCCCTTAGGCCAAGCCTGGCGCTTGCCCGCTGTTTGTTGCGCATGTCCTGTAGATCGACTTAAAGACTTGGCGTGCAAGATGAAGTGATTGGCTGACATTGGGCAAAGAGTGCCTTTACGGGGAGTTGACATCGCAGCCACCCCGATAGGAGGCAGAAACAAAAAGTACAATACATAGGTTTAGGGGGGGTGCCCTTTTTCGTCCTGGCTCAGATGCGTTTTGGAGGTGAAAAAGGGCACCCCTAAGGAAGTGAAGGGCGCTTGCCTGCTGCGTGTTGCCAATCAGTGAGCAAATGTGATGGTATATATATATATATAGGCGGAGTGGACAAAGAGCAGCCGGAAGTGGACAGCCGGAAGTGGACCACTTGCGCAATCTCTTCTCTCTCCTGCCCTGAGCAGATGACATAAGCACACGCACTCGCACCCTATATCAGGTGCCTTATTGCATCGACATAACTCCCATTCTTGGTAGGACATCGTCCTCCGCTGCGCCTGTCTCATCCACATGAACTCCCACCCCATATCTCTTGAGTCCTGCATCCAGGCCTCTCCACCAGTAAAAAGGGGCGCCCCCAAGCAATGCAAAGCCTGCCCACTACTGCAATCTGTTCTCTCTCCTGCTCTTGAGTATGGGGTGCCCTATTGCGCATGGTTGCCAGGCGTTGCAACCCCAAGCAACTCTAAGATTTCTCCTCCGCTGTGTGTGTCTTCCACCTTCCCCACGGCATTGTTCCCCTCCGCCCCCTCACCGTGCCTTAAGAGACACACACCTCCCTCTCACACAGTAATTCAATAGCCTCTTTCCTCTCATCAACATGAACTCCCACCCCGGTGGAAGACGGTTTACATTGCCTCCCGAGCCCCTCATGATGCTAATGATGCACTACTCGCCGTCAATTACATCACTTGCATCACAACACTCCATTTAGCTCTCCGAAATTTGCCCTCTGGCGCCCACCCTTTACTCACTTCTTTCGCTCCCCTAGACTCCAGCCTGGCCTATCGGCTGGCTTTCGTGACATCAACACAAAATTGACACGAGTAAAGCAGTTGACTTCTCGGCGACAAAGACACAATGATCCCATAGCGTGCGCTCGTACAACGAGACCGTGACAACCCGGAGTAGGATGCACAAAATGTTTTTGGCCAAAAACCGAGTTCAAACCTATAAAAGTTGGTGAACTCTGAAGTCAGTCTTGCCTCTTAAAGTCGCAGTCCTCGAGCATCTTTTCCAGGGATAGAATTTCGTGCACCTCTAGGTTCCCATTCTCATTGTGGTCCAGCTGGTTGAGGAGCTCTTGGCAAATCGCTTCCAGACTACCTCCTGCAACACGAGCATGCAAATATTCTTGCATGCGCTCTAGTGCCTTCTCCTCATTTGATTCCTCCTTCACAGGACTTGCCTTCTCCACCATGGCCTTTCCTAACATGCTCAAAAACAGGTTTGCCTTCTTTTTCCTCTCATCATGGTCCATCATGGACCTTTTCTCTTGCACATGGCCCTGACTTATTCCCTCTCTCATGGAACGATCGCGTTGGAACTTCTTCTTTCCTTTGCCAGCGGCTTGAGCACGGGCCTTCAGAGCTGCTTGGGTTTCCTCATGGCAACGTTTCAGCATTCTTGCCAAGTTGCGCACACATCTGCTCTTGGAAATGGTGCAGTTGCGACATAAGAAGACCCAGGCTGCATGGTAGCTGCCAAATTCCTCAAGGAGGAAGCTTCGAAAGGGAGCGAGTGACTCTTGATACAAATCTTTCCACGCGAAGATGATGTTGCGGCCTTCCAGTCCGATGAGACCATCCTTGATCTCGGGCAAGGTCTTCTTGCTGCTGGTGGACACAAACACGAACATCAAAGCATTGAAGATCTTGCCAAAGGTGCTGGACTGTCCACTTTGATCCACTGTCTTGGCGTGGGTTGCTAGCTGCTGGCCCTTGGAAGAGCCGAAGGACTTCCAATTGAATTTGGAGATGACCGTGATACTGGGATCCTCTTTCCACTCCGCGACACCCGCCTCCACGTGCCATTTCATGAAAATGCCCTTCTTGATGCGATCGGGGGACGAAGCACTGTCTCGCACATAAAGGGACAATCCCTGATTCTGGTCGGTCTTCAAGCCATATGGCGCTGGCTCACCCCGGAAGGGTGACACCACCCAGCGGGCAAAGCCGTCCCAATACAAAAAGACGGGTTTCCACTCAGGCAGATTGGCATCTTCAGCATCCTTCACGATCATCCACTCGCCGGGCTCCGGAGCGAATGCCTTGTAGTACTTTTCCGCTTCAGCTCCCACCGCCTGGAAGCAGAGCCGGGCATTCACAAGGGCAGGCATTCCATCCCCATTCGATCCATTGGTTTCGCGTTTGAAGACCACATCGGAGCTGAACTGGGAGCATCGAAGCTGGACTCTGGGAACATCCTGCACCGTGTTGCAAACGATTTCACACATGTGAGGAGGTACCGAATCCGGGCGCCCCACTTTGTTGGGCTTCACATCATCCGCCATGAGCACGTAGTGCAAAATGCTAGTGAAATCACTCTGCTGGCCTTGTCTGAATGTCTGCAACTGAAGCAACAAGGCACTCTCAAAGTCCATGACAGTCTCATGTGTGCAGAAGGATCCACGCCAGCGTTCTTGAATCCTGTAACTTTCTACCGCCTCCATTCCTTTTTGCCTCTCTAGGTTCTTTTGCTTCTTCTTCTTCAATTCTGCGATGCCCTTTTCAAGGCTTTTGATGGCCTTGTCCATGGCGTCCCTTTCCCAAAGCGATCGCCGAATATTGTTCTCCAACAATGACATTTCAAGCTTCTCTTTGTGTCCAGTTTCCATGCGCAACTCCTTAAGGAACAGAGCGCCGCTCTGGTGAGTTGCCCTGAACTCCTTTAACTTGTCCAAATGCTCCTCCAAGCTGCTGTCGACCTCCATCGCTAGCCCGAAGAACTTGGCGAAGATGGTCTGGCGATCCAAGTGCCGGCGGAGCTTTGCTTTATTCAATTCACTGCTTCCTGCAACAACATCTCGCACCGCAATCAAAGCCTCTTCATCCTCATGGTTCTCCTCTTGACTTGCGGGTCGGACCTTGAAGTCGACAAAGCCCATGGTCTCTCTAACATCGCTCTTGGTGATTGGAGGATTGAAGTAGTCTCGCACCTTTCGCTTGGTCTCGGGGAAGAAGGAGTGGTTCTCAGTCTGATCCTTCGAACTTTCTTGAATTCTCTGCAATCTCCCGCTCTCGGTGGTCCAGCTGCTGTAGAAGTAGATCCGCCTCTGGTCTGCCTCATCCGCACCCATTGAAGACAGGTCCTCCGGTAAGATCAAATCAAAAGGGTCGGAAATGCCCAGAAGCTCCTCAGTCATCTTCCCATCCACGTTGTGCTGCATCCACACCATGAGCTTAAACTGGTTCGCTGTGGCCGGCAGGCGCACCTTAAACTCATCTTGATGTTGGCACCAATATCCGAAATGTTTTAAGTCCTCTAACTCGATGAAATCAGGCATCTCGTCCCCTTCGTCTTCCATCAAGGCACGGAAACGAGCGAGATCGCCCATTTGCTGCAAGTCGGCCTCCAACGGCCTCTTCTCTTCACTTCCGGCGTCCGCTTCTGGTGAACTCGTCCTCTCTTTTCGGGGATCTCGGATCAAATCCTTCTTCTTCTCATCCGCAAGCCTCTCAATCCTCGCGTAGCCAGAGGACCGACCTGGCGGCAAGTCGCTCAGGAAATCTTCATCATCATAGAGAATGGTCACATAAAGCATCTTGCCCTCCAGCCTGTCCAGGATCTCCTTTCTCCAGCTCATTTTAGGTTTCGCATTTGGGATCAAAAGGTGTTCAACCTTGATCATGACAAATTGGCTGCTCATCTGGAAGGGCATCGCCATCAATGCACTGATGTGCTCCTGAATCTTCTTCGTCCAGGTTCGCTCGCTGTAGACTGCTCCAAGGGAGTTCTCCATCCACTCCTTTACCTGCACTCTCCACATCTCAAGGAGAAACTTCACGGCTTCTGGGTCATTATCGTTCTCATCTTCCCACTCCTCAGGATAGAAAAGTGTGAGATAGGAGTCCAAATCAGGGTGGCTCATCCTGCGACCTGCATGGTTCACGCATTGCAGCGTTGCTGCCACCGAAGGAATGCACTTACGGCGGTTCAGCTGGTCCATCGAGAGGGCGATCGGAAAGTTCGGGGAGATGTCTTGGTACCAGCGCACCAGGTCCGCGGCACATTCTGGGACGCCAGACCTGGGACGGGTCTCTCCGACCCCGGTCTGCACAGCAAAGAGGGGGGGAGACATCAACGACACTGGAGTGGCATCAATAAATCTCAACGTACTGAAACATTGTAAAAAAGGAAAACGGTTCTTGATAGTTATAGTTTTTTTAACACTGGTGTGGCGGTATTTGCAGCACGTTCGGACTCTGAACATCTAGTCTAATTGGCTGCATTTGCAGCGCTTGGAGCATGTGAGTTCATGACCTGCCCCGGAAACTACATGTTCCGGGTCTCTGCGGTTTTGGGTCTCCGTTCTACTGATTATTTTGCGCGACGCCTTTCAGCGTGTGAGTGTCTGACTTGCTGGCTTTTGCGCCGCAAGTCAGAGCACATGAGTCATACGCGACCTGCCAGTCTTCTTGCAGCACTTTTGGCTTCTGTGTCTGATCCATCGGAGGCCACCACACTTGAGGCACGCGGGAATTGACGAGTTGGTATTTGCAGCAAGTGGTATCTGGTATTCGTTGACTCTCGGAAGTTAAAAAAGAAGTGACAATGACGAGGTCATCCACAGTTACATTGGCGAAAGATTGGTAGCGCCATCCACCATCCAGGAGTTTTGCACGAAGAAGCTGTTCTTACTAGTAGGTGGCTGTGCTTCAGATTGCAATACCCCAATTTCATTGCGGTTCTTCGTCGGCTTCCTGGGCTTCGCATGCATGAAAATGTTCGCCCAAGCGCTTGCTTTCCTCCTCTTCGTCTCCTATTCTCAGTCGTCCGCTTCGGGCCGTCCGGGGCGGCCCGTCCGCGTCCGAACTGCCCAGTGGACGCTGCTAAAACGGTTGCAGGCCGACCATACGTTAAAAACGAGTGATTTTTAAGACTCTTACTGGCTGACCTTTCGCGTCATAAACCTTTGTTCTCTTCTCCGCCTATGGCGGTTTTCATGGGACAAATTTCACGCTAAAAGGTGCAGTCTTTAAGGCAGAGCTGCCACGGGACAGCACTCACTTGCGCACGCCAAGTAGTCATCTCATGTGCGCACGCAAGGTCGACAGTCGACCACGCCTATTTATAGAGACGGGCCATGTCCAAACCCTCACTTGCGCATGTACAGGCTACCTCACTTGCGCACGTGTTAACCACTCTCGCACACAGGCATGTTGCTGCATTGGAGTCACACCTTCCTTCTCTAATTTTGCCCTCGGGTGACCCGGGTGGCTCAAAAGGTCTGCACCGATGGAATGGTACCTTCTTCGTCTTAATTTTACCCTCGGATGGCTCACCACATGTCTGCAGCACCTCATTATCTAATGTAGACCTCTGATTAATAAACGCCCCTAGAATAATGTCTTTTTTCCTGCACTGATTAATAAAGGCCCCCAGAATAATGTCTTTTTTGTAGTGGAATATGTTTAATTGTTGTAGTTTACTTTTTCCCTTTTGAGTTGGCTGGGATTTGCTTATCTTACAGGCTTTGGAGGCTTTTGGATGGAGATTTCTACTAAAACTTTGAAGATGTTCCTTTCTTTTCCCTTTGATTTGCTTTACTTACCTAAGCTCTTTACTCTTTAAGCTTTCCAAAAATTTCCAAAAGCTAGTGCACACTTTCTTTACAAAATCCCTTATTCAAAAGTATTGAGAAAAAACAAAACAATCATTCAAGCAAAGGGGGTAGTCCAGCAAGCAGCTTTCTGACATTATTTAGGGGGGGGCCTAGAATAATGTCTAAAGATTTCAGGCTTAAAAACACGTTTGCTTTAAGTAAACTTGTATTAATTCCCTTTATTTTCCCTTTGATTTGCTTTACTTACCTAAGCTCTTTAGTCTTCAAGCTTTCCAAAAGTGTCCAAAAGTCAGTGCACACTGTCTTTACAATATCCTGTATTCAAAGTATTGAAAAACTAAAAACAATCATTCAAGCAAAGTGGGTAGTCCAGCAAGCAGCGTTCTGGCATTATTTAGGGGGTGCCTAGAATAATGTCTAGAGACTCCAAGCTTAAAAAACATTTTGCGTTAAGTAAACTTGTATGCATTCCCTTTCTTTTCCTTTTGATTTGCTTTACTTACCTAAGCTCTTTAGTCTTTAAGCTTTCCAAAAGTGTCCAAAAGTCAGTGCACACTTTCTTTACAATATCCTTTATTCAAAAGTATTTTTAAAAAAAATCATTCAAGCAAAGGGGGTAGTCCAGCAAGCAGCTTTCTGACATTATTTAGGGGGGGCCCTAGAATAATGTCTAGAGATGTCAGGCTTAAACAATATGTTGCTTTAAGTAAGCTTGTATTCATTCCCTTTCTTTTCCTTTTGATTTGCTTTACTTACCTAAGCTCTTTAGTCGTTAAGCTTTCCAAAAGTTGCCAAAAGTCAGTGCACACTTTCTTTACAAAATCCCTTATTCAAAAGTATTTTAAAAAAAACAACAAAAAATAATTCAAGCAAAGGAGGTAGTTCAGCAAGCAGCTTTCTGCCATTATTGAGGGGGTGCCCTAGAATAATGTCTAGAGATTTCAGTCTTCAAAAATTATTTTGCTTTAAGTAAACTTGTATTCATTCCCTTGCTTTTCCTTTTGATTTGCTTTACTTACCTAAGCTCTTTAGTCTTTAAGCTTTCCAAAAGTTTCCAAAAGTTAGTGCACACTTTCTTTACAAAACCCTTATTCAAAAGTATTGGATGCTTTTGAAGGTCTTTGGATTCAGATTTCCATCAAAAAAAATAGAATTCCATTTCAACTTTAGTGATTTCCTTTCTTTTTTAGTATTCCAGATGTCTTCAATTTGAGATTTCATTGATTCCCTTTCATTTTTGCCAGAGAAGACCAAGAAGATTTTAATAACTATTCTAATTGTGTTTATCCTTTGATTAGTTTTCTTATATATTATATTGGAGGCCCTGGTTGCTGAGGGGGGGCGGGGGAGTTGATTGATCAAGAGTCTACATTAAGTTTTGCCCTCGGGTGGCTCACAAAAGGTCCGTCTGTGAGCCTCCGAGCACTTGGGTGGCGCAAGTGTCTGCACCGTTCTTCGTCCTCTTAAGCTTTGCCCTCGCAAAAGGTCTGCTACCTTGGAATGGCACCCTTTTCCCCTAAAAGTCTACCCTCAGGTGGCTCACAAAAGGTCTGCACGGCGCCTTCTTCATCTAAATTGCCCTCGGGTGGCCCACAAAAGGTCTGCTACCTTGGAATAGGACCTCCCTCTCCTAAAAATGTTGCCCTTGGGTGGACCAGTCAATGTACATTTTGTCCGTGTTGCTTGCAGCTGGCCAGCTCATGAGACAACTCACCTAAAAATAAGGAAGAGGGATCAAACACAATTGAAGGGAAATTGAACTGCTCAAAGCGCAGACGTTGCGACATCTCAGTTTCCTGTCCTCTTTCGCCTTTCCCTTCTAAGAAAACCTGCAACAAGAAGTGCAATTTCTTTGGCTTAAATAATTGCTGCGGTGTTGCCAAATAGATTGGTATATATCTAGGTTTGCGTGTTGCAGTCTGTCCCTTGTAGAGTTGCTGGCGTACACTCCGACGTATGTGCGGCCAATGTATGAGGTGTTGGACAACTGTTGCAAAGATTCAAGGCTTCTGGCACAAAGATTTCGAAGCAAGCATAAAAATACATCAAGCTAGTGTTCACAAATCGTCACTGATCGTTCTTCTGGTGTACACTTTCCCTTAAGAAATCTTCCACTCTAAAGATATCATATATATATATACACATACTAAATACACATAATTGTATAGTCTGGGTGTCAGGTAACACATGTGAATAAGACCAGGGGGGCTAATCGTCCCAAAAAGGCTACATATTCCATCCCACGGGATTTTGCCACATGCACGCACCTGCGCCATGCCACAAAAATCAACCCGGCCTAGAATTGGAGCCTTTGCCCTTTACAAAATAGGCGTTGTGCTTGATGACCTGTTGCCGCCTCTTCTCCTCTGCTGGCAGCAAGTCATCCACGAGTGGCTTCCCAACCAGCCGCACTCCGAGTTCGGACACCACAAAGGAGACCGAGTTGACGTTCTGCGTGCCAAAGTCATGGAAATCGATGCCCCAACTGCCCAAATTCAGCCAAATCATTGCTTGGACCTGCCGTAGAGCTGTGACATGGACTCCGAGATGTTTTCGATGCTTTTCTTCAACTCCTTGCGAAAGGTTCCAAGCGTCATCATGATCATGGCCATCACACATGTCAAGATGCAGCCGATGGCACACAGTGACGGGCTCATCAAACCGATAAGATCCATGGCAAGGAAGCCCAACACCAAACTCTGCATGAAAAGTGCGAAGACTTCCATCTCGAGGAAGATGGCCACGACTTTTCCCATTGCTGCCACCCAGTCCGTCGAAGTGACACGAGCAGCCGCGGAGTGCGACAGCATCGGCTCATTGGTCAAGGGGACATATCCATGCTTGGTGTTCTCTGTCCCCTTTTCATCTTGCATGGAGGTGAGCTTTGTGTAGAAGCGGCTGATAGACGCTAGCAAAAGCAAGCAAAACAAAATCATGACACAAAGTGGGCCGGGCAGTTGCACTGCCAACACGCCAATGGTGATCATGGTTGTGAGCCGGTCCAAGGTATAGTTGAACTGCTCGCCCTTGCCGGAACCCTTCAACATGAATGCAAAGCTTGATGACAGAGGAAGCTCCAAGCTCTCGAGGGGAACACAGGCCTTGAATTTGTTGGTGTAGCGCATGAGGGGCGGAACATGCTTCAACTGCACCTTCATCTCCATCTGGCTGCTCCAGCCATCTGGCTTCTTGATGATGTAGCGCTTCTTGCCGAGCGTGTCCTCTGGAAAGCGAGTGAAGCAAGAGGATGAATGGTAGCCGTTCTCTGGGATCAACGGGCTTTCCTCCCGTCGCTGCATCCACCTGCTGTCAAAAGTGCCATCCTGAAAGAAAGCAGCGTGGTCAAACATGATCTTGCGCTCACCCTCATCAGGCTTGTCAGAGTCATCCCACCAGGGCTCATCTAGGTAAAGATCCTGGAACTTCATCAGTGAGAAGTGTAGCAGCTCGTCTGCAACCGGGCGAGCAGCCGTGTCTTCAATCGGCTTGGCATGAGCAAGGTCCAAGAGAAAATCCTCGAAGGGTTTCTCCACCACCTCCAGCATGGTGTCGCGCTCGTTGTAGTAGAGGGGATGGTGCCTGGACATCCATGAGAGCTTCATTTTGACCGTGGCGCACGGCAACAGCTTTTGCCAGACCCATCTTCTAATCTCGTCCTTCTCGCGCCGCGACATCTCAAGGGGCACCAAATGCTTGAAGCGCTTGAGCAAGGAGCGCTCTTCTGCGCTCCAGGGCAAGTCCCACTGGTCCAAATAGATCCAATGCCATTTGGTCGCATAGGTGATCCTCGCGGTGCCCTTTTGGAAGAATCCATCCCTCCGCACGGCAGAGGCAAACATCTCCCAGCCCTCCTGTGGCTCATCAAGCCAGTAGCACCAGCCGGCAGGTTGATCTCCCAATTTGAAGCGCCCAAAGAGCTGTGGCAAGAAGTCCAAGGTGTGGGATTCAATCACCAGCCTTTGCCCCGAAGGGTTGGCAATGAAGTTGCTGTCCAGGGGGGCATACTCGCCCAACCAAACCCCTTCAGAACTCAATCTTTCCTGCATCACATCTTTGGGCAACCACCAAATCCTGGGGTGCCTTTCAATCCTCTGATCCTCCTCGTTCTTTCTGAGGTAAGGCTCTCGTGGCAGCAAGAAACCCTTGTAAAACGAGACCTCCATGATGTTGTACTTCTTCAACTCCTTCTCGCGTTGGACAAAACCCTCTAGGTAGGAGCGAAGGGCGACGGACTCCTCAGCGTCAAGGACTTCGAAGTCATTCCGACCTCTTTGGGATGTCCACTGGTTGAAAAGCTTCACGAGGCTGACTTTCTGGAAAACGAAGATCTCCTCCTCATCTACTTCTCCTGAACTTGGGAACCAGCTAGGATCGGCCAAAGGACCCCAAGGCAGTTGATCCTCCTCTCTGCCGTAGGTTGCTTCCTCTGCAGCCAGCTGCCCCTTGATCTGCTCAAGAGCATCTCTGTGCTGGAGCTGTCGCTCTCTTTTCTTCGTGTTCAAGTCCTTTTCTTGTTGCACCCATTGTTCTTGGCGCATTCGAGCTTTCTCCGTCTGCTTGGTCATGCTTTGATGCAACTCCGTGGTGAGATCCTGAAATAATTGCACGGACTCCTCCTCAAGCTTGGCTTTGTCAATTGTCACCTTTGCTAAAGGCACTTCCTCCACATCGGTCTTGAAGTTGATGGGGCGGCCGTTTGGCGCGAGAACCGGGACGCAGGAGCGCACATGGCTGGTGAGGAACTCACCCACGACCGGAAACCAGGATGGGATTGGTGGTTCTAGGTCCACCTTGACTTCCTGCGCGGTAGGGTCGATCCACTGCTGGATCTCTACGTTGAACACCAACTCCTTCCTTCGTCCGTGGTGACCTGCGGCGTGACCCGCGTGACCATCGCCCTTCGTCAGGCCGTAGACCAGGTAGAAGGTGATGAGAATAAATACCACCGGATAGCCAAGGAGGGCGGCCGCCACAAAGGTCCGCACGGTCCAGCTCTCGGGCCTCCAGAAGAAGAAGGTGACCAAGGAAGGTTGAGTCATCATCTTCACAGCACTTTTGGTGAAGGAAATGAGGCCACAATCCAAAGCCAAAATCGCCAAAAAGCCAGGCTCCAACCACTTCAGCCTGCGCTGACTGTGCTTCATGACTTTCCAGTAGTACAGTGAGTAGGTCGTGGTCATGGTCGACCAAAAGAGAAACATCAAAATGAAGGTTGCAGTATTGGAATGCATCATCTGCCTTAGCAACTCGAGCTTGTGTGCAAAATGGAAGGCGTTGACCAAATCACTGAGCGGAGGTTGGAGGCAAGGGATCTTTCTGGCTTCTGGGAAGTCCTTCTCAGTAACACCAGCCTCAGAGGTCTTCTTCATGAAGGCCTTCCAGTCTGATTCGGTCCATTCAAAGATCAGGATCTCAATGTGGGAGTCTGGCCTGGGAATGAGTACGTTGAGGCGAGGTTCCTTTTTGGGGGCTGCTACTGCTACTAAAACAGATCAAGACAAAAAGCCGAAAGGCTAAAAGGATACAACTCCCTTTTTGTCCAACTGAGACTCACTTCCTCCACAGGCGTGTCCTCTTTGTCATCTCCAGGATGTTCTCCATTCAAACGACGAAGGGTGTCCTTCAGCTGTTGCCAGTGACCCTTTGAGCTAGCAGGAGGTGATCCTCGAAGCGTCGCGCGCGCAGCGCTGCTGGCGCTGCTGGCACCCGGCGCAGGAAGCGCACTGGAAGTTTCGTCGGCCATGCCTCTGATGGCTTCTGACCTGGTTTGATTCTCCCGGATGTTTTTGAAGATCAAGTTCTTGGAGGATACTTCCTCCAGACTCTTCATCAAGATCTTTGTTTTTTCAGGATGCAGGTGCAAAATGCCGTTGCCGGCCAGGAGTCCTTGGGCAGAAGCATAGCAATATTGCAAAACTAAATCGCTCGATGGTCGCATCTCACTCATCACGAAGGACTCCTTGACCATCTGAACGGCCTAAAGCAATTCAGTTCATGTGAGTTAGCTTGCTGTTTTGCCCAGTTTTTCGAGGGTACCGATCTTCTCTTGTGGTGCGCACATCTAAAGAGGTCCCGGATGCTGAGCAAGGGGATTTGAGCCAAAAAAGAAAACTTTTCTGTTCTGCACTAAGACACCCTTTTCTTGAACATTTTCACATCCTCCAAGGTTGGAAGACCCAGGTCCGGCAAGTAGGGTGTGAGATCAAAGTTCAAGCCTTCCAAGTTCTCAGCAAACTCCTGCTCTGATCCAAAGCTTGGGAGAACTAGACGATGAGTGGCCCGAAAACATTTTTCACCACGTGTGAAGTTAGAATGTGTTGTGTGTTAAGTGTTAAGTGTGAAGTGTTGAGTCTAGTGTGTTGAGTAAGTGTGTGGGTCTGTGTGTGTGTCTATGTGTGTATTTATGTCTGTGTGTGTACAGAGGTGAGGGGGTGTAGACGTCGATGTGCCGCCACATACTAGAAGCAAACGTATCACGTAGGACACTCTTGTGGGTCACTCTTGTAGGAAGCTCTTGCGGGGCACTCTTTTGGGACACTCTTGATACCACAATGATCCCGCTCACCAGCGACACGCCGCGTTTACGCCAGCGTGTTTCGCGCTCCCCAGTGGCACGGCGCCACGCAAACGCACTTCCCACCAAGGCCGCGCAA